TATGTTAACTTACAGTTTTTCCATAAATGCAAGTAGTAGTATCAAATAAAACTTTATATCATATTTATCCGATTTGAACATGTATTATAGTGGTTTGTATTAGTATTATCGTTATGTTATTACTCTAATTTAAATAGACCTATGATTAGTAATAAGATGTTCGGTTAGAAAACATATAAAACGAATAACTTTGGATGAGTGTGCATATAATACGTAATCCATGATCATGAGTGTGACAAAAATTGACCACTAGCCGTAAGGAATCATAATGAAAATTTACACAACAAAACAAGATATATTCATATTCTAAGATCTACTTGATTAAGACATGCAAATGAACAACAAGAAGAAAAACACAAAAATTGATCCTTTATTGCAAAGAGTATTTGGATCATTTAATGCGTGTGGCAGGAGATTCTCTATAAACAAAGTTTTTTTAAATGAATTCGAAACAAACAAACAATGTTTTTTTTCTTAAAAACAATATCAACAAATTGTATTTCCACAGTAAAATTAAAAAAAAAACTTTAATTTGTAATTTATTTCAAGAGAAAAAAGTGGGTCTAAGCCCATGTAGCGAACCACGTTGCAAAAGGTAATGTCTTTATCAGACAGAGGTTGGCCCAAATCAAATCGAGAGTTGAGACAAGTTGCCTATAAAATCTCTGTACCAATGAGATTATTATGGGTCCCATAAGATCTTTAAGTGAAATCTTCTCAAATCACTTTACACTTTTACAATGTGTTAATTCGATCTAACCCGGGTTTAGTTCTGGTTTATCTTGTACGTAAATAAAAAGCTGGTCAAGTAATGGTTATGAAGTATCAAAGTTTTGGTAGATATAAGGCTTGTCATTTATGCTTTGGCATTGTGTTGTCAATTTAAGCAACAAGGGAAAGTACAAAGAATAAAAGCAAAAGTAATGTTTTCCCCCCAACTTGTTCAGTTATATCAAAAATTTATATAATAACGGTAAAAATCTATAGATTAATGTAGTTATTATGTGAATAAATGCTTTATTGAATATGGACACAGTTATGAGTTTTCGGTCCATACATCTTTTCGAATATGATCGGATAGTTAAAAAAAAATTTACGCTTTACACCGACCAGAATCGGAGACCGATATGATACACATACAATTATCAAAGAACCAAGTGAATGATGGATGATTTGTCTTTAATATACAAAATCCCATAATGTGTTTTTGTAATAATACTAACAATAATAGTGTTAGGTGGTAATAGTACTTTTGTTGGTGAAAATGCTCATGTTATAATTGGGTCAATAGAAAGATAACACTTATTACTATTGATTTCGCCAGCTAACTTGGTTTCTCATTCATTCTTGTCTTCACAAACATCCTTTGAATTAAGTCTCCTAACTCTAAAAACGGCAAGGAGTTTACATTAATAAGGTCCAAACAGCGACGCTTTTATTCCTCAAACCCGATATTATATTTTACCGGGCTAGTTCACGTGTAAGCCCGTTTAAGGCCCGTAATGTGAACTAATAGTGAGAAAACGGCAAGGAGTGCGGTCAAAAGGTTTGAAAACGGCGACGTGTTGATTTGTGCTTCGTCTTCTTTGATTTATCAACGGAAAATGAATCATGTTCAGAATAATTTTCTTTCTTTCTTTCTTTTGGATTCCTCATGCAAATTCGGAAAGCCTTGGAACCACCAATCGGATTAACGTCGACGTGACCAATTCTGTGTGTTTTCGGCGGAATTTGATTGATTAAGGATTGAAATTGAAGTGATTGTAATCCAGTTTTCATTTTTCTCCTGATGGTGGAAGAAGAAGCGAAATTGGATTCGAAATCGAAACCGATGCCGAATGAGAATTTGAGATTCGGAGAAAGGGTTTTGTCTGCCGGAGGCGCCGCTTTTATATCGGCGGTCGTAGTTAATCCACTCGATGTTGTTAAGGTGAGAATTTGAGTTTTTTTTTTTTTTTCTGTTGGCTATGAAATCGTCTGCGAAAATCTGATTGAGCTTCTTCATGTGTGTGTGTGTTTGTAATGGGCAGACGAGATTACAAGCACAAGCTGCAGGAGTTCCGTATCAAGGCTCGTGTCGTCTAGGTTGTTTCGAATCGAACTCCACGGTATTGTATTTTTGAAGCTCTTAGTTTTGAAATGGATTCTGGATTGATTGATTCCATGTTATGTAGCTTAGTTTTCATCTGTTGATTGTAGGTGGTACAAGATTTAAGAAGTAAGTCTCCAGGGATGTGTCGGATTACTGGCTCTGCATCTGTATGCTCAGATAATCAGTACAAGGGAACACTTGATGTGTTTTACAAAATTATCCGCCAGGTTAGAACAATTGCTATTGTTTGATTAAGATGGTAATAAGAATTGCAGTGTCTATGTGTGGTTTTTTAGTCTGATTGTCATGTGAATCAATCCATTATCGTTCTAGATTTTTCATCTTGATGACTTCTGGTATAGTGTCTGTAATGCAATTTGTCTAGGAAATTGTAGCATCATGTAATTTTTTTAATTTTTAGTTCACTATTACTCATTTGTAGAGTTTCACAGGAACAACTTTATGCAGGAAGGGTTTTCTAGGCTTTGGAGAGGTACGAACGCAAGTTTAGCGTTGGCCATTCCGACTGTGAGTTCTCTTAAGTAATGCTGTTTGCTTCTGCAACCTAGTGTTCGTTGGGTCTTTACGACTGATTACTACTTCTTTGCATATGTTACTAGGTTGGGATCTACATGCCTTGTTATGATTATTTTCGTAATTCCATGGAGGTATTCACGGTAGAGAAGTCTCCAGCTTTGACACCGTATGTTCCACTTGTCGCCGGGACAATAGCACGGTCCTTGGCTGTTATCTCATGTTACCCTGTTGAGTTAGCTAGGACACGGATGCAGGTAACTCTTAAGGATAATATTGCCCGTTACCATAACACCTTACCTTATTTCCATGGTTGCTAAACTATTAATGAGCTAAGAACATATTAGTAGTCTAGTAGAATTATCTGGCTGAATGAAAAAAAAGAAGAAGAGTAGATGTAGTGGTTTCTGATTATTTTATCTGTTTGGAGAGATCGAGAAAGAACCAATGGATATCGATTCTTTTGTTTTACTAACAGGCATTTAAGGGAACGCAAAGAGATGTGAAACTGCCTGGCGTTTGGAAGACATTAGTCGATGTCATCAATCCAATCAAGGGCTCAACTAATGGACAAAATTACAGGATGTTATGGACAGGTCTTGGTGCTCAACTTGCTCGAGATGTTCCATTCTCTGCGATCTGCTGGTCGATACTTGAGCCCGTAAGTAATCTATCTCTGAAAAGAAATCCAGACTCCTCCATCGTGTCTTGCTATCGTTGTACTCACGACTGTTTGGTTATGAATTTAGACGCGGAGAAGCATTCTCTCGTTCATGGGTGAGAAACCAAGGGCGGGTAGTATAATAGCTGCAAACTTCACTGCTGGTTTTGTCGCTGGTGCGGTTGCTGCTGCAGCTACTTGCCCACTAGATGTTGCAAAGACTCGGCGTCAAATAGAGGTAAACCAGACCTAACTTCATCTTCCATAATTCCATGGCATTGCTCTAGAAATTAGAATTCATCACCAGCTTTTAGACAACTGCATTAATTTTGGTTTATTAAAACGTTCTTGGTTATTGCAGAAGAATGCAGATAGAGCCATGAATATGACCACAAGACAAACCTTGGCAGAGATTTGGAGGTATTAATAAGTGTTTCTCTTCTCACCCAAAATGAGTAA